ACTTTCTTATTAAAAAAATGTATGAGAAACTCTATAACTCTATATACAATATTTTCTTCTCACATATATCTCGCTCTGTTTTGGTATATTTTGGAATAAGTATAAGGTACTTTTGGGTAAGTGTGAGGTGTTTTGGGGTGTTTCAGGTCGTTTTGAAAGTATTAAATGTTTTGGTTGTTTTGAGGTAAGTTTGAGGTGGTTTTGAGGTAAGTGTAAGGTGTTTTTTGGTAAGTGTAGGTTGTGTTTTAGTAAATGTTAAGTGTTTTTGGGAAAGTATGGAGTGTTTTTGGGTAAATATGAGGTGCTTTTGGGTAAATGAAAGTTGTTTTGGGTAAGTATGAGGTGTTTTTCTGACATCGTTGACATGTTCATCTGATACAAAATGGTTTTCATTGAGTTATTATGGGGGGGGGGGGGGGGGGGGGTTACAATATTGTACAATTAACTCTCATGCGAGAAACGATCTAAGGATTTGCATTAATCACGGAATATAAATCTCAATTCTATATTTTATAACATCACAGTTAATAAGGTGGTGGTAAAGATATTTAAGTATCATTTTTCCATTATTTTACCAAAGTATAAAATAACTGATAGACACATGGGCCATTCCAGAAAAAAATTCAATTTTGATGGTAACGAAAGAAATCTTAAATGTTATGCCTAATATCTATCTTTTGTAGTTCACTGATTTGTATTTTGAAACCAGCAGCGAGTCAAAATTTCGTGTTTTCTCGAAAAATTTATTTCTTAAGTAGATGTATACAGTATTGTGTCATTACCGTAATGCTATCAAATAAAGTTTTGTTTATGTTTAAAGAGTATATTCAATTAGATTTGGCTGAAAAACTCACAAAGAAAACGTGTCAAAGACAAATATTTGAAAATAACGGATAAGTAAAATTGCAGTTCCACAATAATTCGTTGATATTCGTTGAATATGAATACGTTCTTGACATTAATAAGCCGCTGATACAAAGATTTATTTTTCTATATGCAATAATGATTTCGGAAAATATTTATTGAAAGTAATTTGATAATTTTGAACTGTTGTCTTTGTATTTTTGTTCAACGGCATGGTCACAGACTATATGGAATTCATTTATACGGTAATGACATTATGTAACGGTAATGACTTAAATGCATAAAACGCTGAATTAACTTACTAAAAAATACAAGGAAATGCAAAACAGAATAAAAACAGAATATTAATCGAGATCCAGTTCCTTCTTGATCAAACCCCATATTTGTGGGTCGATCTCACAATGTCTCTTCGTAACATTTTGCGGGGGATCAGTCAGAAGTGTGATAATTTTTTCTTTTGGGTACCACAGACGGTCCTCTCTGGAAGGCCAAAAGTACCGGTTCTTCCCCACACAATGCATAACATTGACCTCCACTTCCTCATCATCATCCGTGTCCATAAGGATCCCCGGAAATGGCATGTTGTCGTATGACACTACGCAATGCTTGTAGATGAGTCCCTCGTCAACTTCTTCAACTTTGACAAGTTGAGTGACTTTTTGTTGCATCACAGGAGAGGGGCGATCACCGAAAGGCTCCATAACATGTTGATGAGGAGGGGTATGAAAGGTTTCCTATAGAGAGAAAAAAAGATGAGAAAATAAAAACATTATGTCGGTAAGAATTGAAGTGATATACGAAATTAATTATAATTTTTATTATTACATATTATTCAATCAATAAGAATGTGCTAGAGCAGGGTAAAAATCTCGCCTACAAAACTTAACATAAAATACCTGTAGAGTCGTAGAGTCACCAAACGTGTCAGATACACTGGCAGGATCAGGAACAAGCCCAACAGTTGGGTCTGAAGCAGGGTCGACCACAGAGAACGGTGCAAGGTCAATGAAAGGGCTGGACTCAGGTTCGACGACGACTGGTGCAAGTTCATTGACAGGAACTGGCGCAGGGTGGACAAAAGATCTGGTGTTGGATGGACAACAGGAACTGGTGCAGGGTGGATAACAGGGTTTGGTGCAGTGTGGACAACAGGATCTGGTGTTGAATGGACAACATGGTCTGGTGCAGGGTGGACAACAGGAACTGGTGTTGGATGAACAACATGGTCTGGTGCAGGGTGGACAACAGGGTCTGGTGCAGTGTGGACAACAGGATCTGGTGCAGGGTGGACAACAGGAACTGGTGTTGGATGGACAACATGGTCTGGTGCAGGGTGGACAACAGGATCTGGTGTTGGATGGACAACAGGAACTGGTGCAGGGTGGACAACAGGGTCTGGTGCAGGGTGGACAACAGGATCTGGTGTTGGATGGACAACAGGATCTGGTGCTGAATGGACAACAGGATCTGGTGCAGGGTGGACAACAAGATCTGGTGTTGGATGGACAACATGGTCTGGTGCAGGGTGGACAACAGGAACTGGCGCATGGTGGACAACATGGTCTGGTGCAGGGTGGACAACAGGATCTGGCGCAGGGTGGACAACAGGATCTGGTGTTGGATGGACAACAGGATCAGTTGTTGGATGGACAATAGGGTCTGGTGTTGGATGGACAATAGGGTCTGGTGTTGAATGGACAATAGGGTCTGGTGCAGGGTGGATAACGGGATCTGGTGCAGGATGGACAACAGGATCTGATGCAGGATCGACGACGGGGACTGGGTGAACGACTGCATGTACCATTCGTCTCTCTCTGTGAACTGCTCCCTGAAATTTTGAATTACTGTTAGATAGAAAATTCATGTTTGAATGATTGCATGCTCCAAACAATACATGAATCATTTTCATATAACTTTCTTTTAACCTGAATGTAAGGCTTTAGAATATGTATACATACTTCTGAATTGAAAACTATTGTACCAGGCTGGAAGCAATCACACTCTAGAAATTGTCGCCCACAGAAACATGAGAGAACACGGTGATGGACTACCCCTTGACATTTTGACACAAGCTGAAAAAGGCATAATCAAAATAACACGAAATCAAAGAGACATATTTTTTTCTTTTCAAAAAATTGTACACTTAAAAGTTATCTAAAGAATTTATATTGTTAGAGAAATGACACTCACGTTTATACAGATACGACAGTCAGAATAAAATATCTAAAATCTTGCTATTTGCCTTTACGAATAAAACCCAAATTCATGTTTACTTCGTTACAACTGCATTTATGAAACGCCGATTCAATTATTAGAACGTGACCAGATGCTAGATAGTCTTATTCTCACCCCAAAGAAAGAAAAAAACTACATATATATAAATTACCTGATGTATCTGCATCGTTCCTGGAATTGGTTTAATTTGAGATGGAATTTCAGCCTCAATCCTACTTATATCATCCTCGGTTATGGTGTACAAGGACACTTTGGTCTCGGGTGCCAGTGCTGCGATGTCATATGCTGTTATCATGTCCCTGCCTCTCAGAACCGATTTGTCGGCAAGCCTTTTAATTGCAGCACCGATACCGTCAGTCGCTCCCTTTCCATGTGCTGCTTCCAGGAAATTCCATGTACCGCCATCGAAGCCATATTGGAATATCTTCAAACAAAATCAATAGAAGTTGTGTTTATTTCTATACTGGGTCTTTGGTCCGTCATTAATAAAATGCACTCTTCTGGCAAGGGTCAATTCCTTCAGATTCTGAAGAACGGGGTGTGTAACCCTCTCGAACCGTTCGAGAGACACAATTGAAGGACTACCGAAGGTGAAGAAAAGCGCCTTTTATTTCCGGTAAGCTTACAAAACTCTCTCGCTCCCGTACCTGCCCTGGTCCCAGGCCTCGTGACACCAGTCCGTCCAATACGCTGTCTAGTGACCGGAGTGAGGGACGATCTTGTCCCCTCCTATTTATGTCTAATGCCTACGTGACTGTCAAATTTGATGGGTGACCCCGGTTGACCAAGGCTGTCAAACTATTACTAATTTTGAATTGAATCCCAGACATTCTGGAGCCAAAACAGTCGAAAACAAATACAAAGCCTTCAATTCGGCCACACACGCCAAGGTCCGGTCTCCCAGTGTAAACAAAAGACTTTCAAAAATTACGTCACATAAACATTTGTCAACGTTTTAGGTATTAACTATTGCGCAGTTTGTGCACCTGCCTCAGCAGCAGCAGTACAGCGTAGTAAAGTGACCTTAATATATGTCCCCCACAGAACAATGACTGTGTGTCAGAACATATAACTAAAACAGATAATTCTGCTTAATAATTAAATATTATAAACATCAACTCAGTAATAGAACCAAAACAGATAATACTGCCTAATATCTTAAGCAAGGGCAGATAACCTTGCATAGGGTTACAGGTGTAAATGGGCCCATATTGCTGCTGGTCCGTGCTTAAGACAATCTGACAAAGTACAAAAAGAAAATGTTCTTTCCGTTGAGTACACAACTCCTGTGTATAATGAAATCTGGCACACTCTGCACTTCAGCGGAGTATTTGCTGTTGTAGTTTTCGCTGAAATCCATGTGAATTATAATTTCCTCGGGCGTCAGTCTATCGCGCAATGAACGCAATGACTCATACTGATGCCTAATGTTGAACACATGTCTGGCAACTCTTTGAATGTCTTTCTGTAATTCGTCTGAAAGGATTCGGAGGGATCCAAAATCGGGTTCTTTCACTGTCATTGTGACTGTGTTCTTTCCGTTGAAATTTCTTTGTGTCTTCCATACCAACCATGATACCTGTTCATTTTCGTTTCCATCTCTAAAGTTGAAGTTCACTGCCCTGTGTACGCAAGAAGAGCATTCCCGGTACATGCATTCTTTGTTTGTAGTGCTACAGGTGATGGTTTGGATAACCGTGTCCAGATCACTAGTAGGGAGTACGTCGTGTTGCTTGCATTTCTCTAATTTGAATTTAAAGTTTTCATGAATCTTGCATTGGCATGTTTCCCTGTCGGTTGCAGTAGGTGCCCGGATGTGGAAAGGTCGTAAGAAACAGAACAGGCTGTAGGACATCTTTGTTGTGTACTCAGTAAGAAACTTGCCATGTAGGTGCTTCATGTCATCGTTCAAAAAACGTATTTGCCTCTTTTCGCCTTTTTTTAGTTATTGTTGATTTTTTTCCAGCTTTCACCCTAGAGTTATCGTCCCTTTCCAGAAAGCTTTCAACTTTACACCTCAACGCCGTCGGCTTTACTGCTGCTTTCCTCTTGCCATATTTCAAAATGGAGTGGTGTCTTGAAATCCGTGTTCTCGATTGAAGATAACTGAGGAGACGAAATTTTTTCAAGATTCTATAGGAACATATTAAAGTCGAGATCAGCTGTTTTTCTTTCTGAGATTTTGATTTTGCGTATCTTTGCTTGATTCTGTTGGTAATAATCGTGGACAGTAACAAAGCTTTCTTTGCTTCTTTGTTCTTTATCTGTACATCTACTTCATTTTCTTCCTCTGTAATTGCTTTCCTTTTAAGTCGCTGGCATCTTTTTTTGTACTTTTCTCGCAGTGTTTTTTCTTTCTTAAGACTTATCCTCAATTGGTAAAGATCTCTGTAAGCTTTCGCTCTGTCTCGTCTCGGCCTTTGTCGTCCCCTTCTCCTCATGGTAGTGTTTCTTTGTGTTTCTTGGTTACTTGGTGATATTGGTGGTGTTGGTATGGTCGCAATAGCTCTCCTTTGTAGTTTGTCACGTTGTCTTTTTTCACGCTGATTTAGTTTCCAGCGCTTTCTCCCCATCCTCTTATCTCGTTCACTCATTTCATTGATGGATGGCATAAGGCCTCTTTCTCTTCTTCTTCTGTTTCTTTCTCTTTCTTTTCTTTTGTAATCTTCGTGTTTTTCCGGGTTTTCCCGTTGTCGTCTCCGCCATTCCCGTACACGGCGTGCATTTGCTTCCTTTCCAGAAACCATATTTCAGCTTGTTTTTTTCTCAGCAAGATCGTGTCCTTGACATTCAAAATTTGATCATGAAGATCACACACGGTTTTGGCCCATTCTGGGTATTCCTCAGAGTCTTCTATCAAAATATTATAGTATACCTTTTCTACAGCTCCTAAACTGATATCTGTTTGGTTTAGTGCTGACTTTAATACTGTAAGAAAAAATGAACGGTACTCTAATTTTTTGGAATAAAATAAATCAATTAATGTAATGTAGCAGAGCACATAAAATTAAACAAATACTATTTTACTGCCTCCGCTAGGTATCGAACCCGGGACCACTGGCTTACTAGTCTGACGCTAGAGAAAAAATTTCTCTTGCCGAGATGTATATTGCGGCTAGTATTCCCCAGGGGTACAGTAGCAATATATAGCTATACTTATACATGATGGCACTACTAATAACATTGTCATGACAGTGAATTGCGATTGTGTCATCACCGTAATGCTAGTTTTGAATAGAGATGTCACAGAGCGGTATACTATATGACGAGGAAAGGTATTCTGTTATTTGGTCCGTTCGTCTATATTGAATGTAGATTGAAACATCAATGAAATACAAAAACTTTACCGATATACAAATCAAAATTCTTATAAAGTTTTCAGTGTCATCACCGTAACGATGGTGTCATCACCGTAATGACGGTTTTCAATATTAATTGACTGGCTCACGCAGAATTTGAATTTTCATGAAATTAGATACAATAACTCCTTTTATCTATAAAAGATATTCTAACACAAGCGATTGGAATCCTTATTATCAAATACAACCAGTTTCCTGAAAAAAAGTCATTACCGTAATGATAGTTTCATCACCGTAATGTATATTGTTCTTTTTTGTTTTATCTGATCAACCGGATAGGGATTTGTTAACAAAAGACTCGGTGCTTATTCGTTTGTCCCAACATATGATTATGATATCTTAAAGAAAGATATAGGTAATAAAATAATAAGCATTAAGCAATTTCAAATTTAAAAGGTCATTGCCGTAATGAAAGTGTCATTACCGTTATTTCACTAGTGATGACGTCATTACGGTAATGATGTAGTACGGTAGTGACAATTTAAAAAAAAAACCCATTCAGGGCCTCTCGTGACACGAGTGAAGAAAATGTACATCGCTATGATGTGGGTGATTTTCCAACAAATACAAAAGGCTTAAGAAATTTAATATCAGGTTCATTTTTTCAATGTTTATCAATGTACGGTAATGACAATGAATTAACATACGCAGAGATAAATTAACTTACATAATAATCTCTCGTTTTTCCGTCCACCAACAGCATCCATCGAACGTGTTTTTCTAAAATGGCGCCTTATGAACTTTGCTCTCGTATGAAGATTTACAGTTTTAAGGGAGTTAACTCTCAGAAATCAGTTGATTTCTGTACCATTACGGTAGTGACCCCTTAATAAGGGACACGCAGAACGGCGTTATTATTTACTTATGAATAAAAACCTTACATTCGGCTTTTTGTTGTCTATACGAAAGGTACTCTGAAGTTTTGTTTGTAGAAACTAATATGAAATAATAATGTAAAACAAAGAAGACAACAGCACATATAATTACAAAAAGTGGTCGCGGGACATCACTATTTCATGAGTAGGAGAATATGTTCAGCAACAAAAAACACAAAGTCCATAAAAAATTATTTATTTTTTTAATGTCACATATTTTTTTGAAGGAAATGTGTATATTAGAAGGTTTAAACCTTGACATTTAGGATAGACATGTGAATGTTATACAGTTGAAAAACCGAGGGACACGTTTTTCAATTTTTTTTCTGGAATGACCCACATTGTTTTCATATCCCTTTCATTTATATATTTGCACTTTTTCAGCTAGATGGAATCTTACCTGTTTCAAGGAATAATAATAATAATAATAATAATAATAATAAACATTCTTTATTGAGGATTGTCCATGTTTAGCCAAAGACTAATCTACCACATGGTCTTCTTGTTAGTAAAATACAAAAATTAGTTACAAAAATTAGCTTAAGACAGTACAGATAATAAGATAAAAATAGTAATACAGCACTATAAGATAATTATAAGATTACAAATTAATATCACAGCATCCCTGAGGTACACCATGTGTTATGTTCATTGCCTCTGATAAACTTCCTGCAATACATACTTTCTGTGATCGATCTGTGAGGTAAGAGGTAAACCAAGACACTGTATTGGGATCACATTTATATAACCTTAACTTATCAATAAGAACATTGTCAAAAGCTTTTTATAATCTAAAAATATTACACTAGTTAAAAGACCTTCATCAATGTTTTTAGCCCATGTATTTACAATGTTTAAAAGTGCTGTTTCACAAGAATGTTTCTTTCTGAAGCCGGATTGTGAAGACAATAAGATCATGTCTGCTTAAAAAATCATAAAAAGTGCTGTGTACATGTCGTTCTAACAATTTTGATAAAATGGGTAATACTGAAATAGGCCTGTAGTTACTCACCTCAACAGTACTTCCACTCTTAAAAAGAGGTGTAACTTAAGCCATTTTCCATTTACTTGGAAATTTACCTGTTTGAATGCTAAAATTCATAATATAGGTAATTGAAGGTGCAATTTCAGAATATGCGCTAATACCATCTACACCAATAGCCTTTTTCAAATTTAATGATTTCAAAAAATTTTCAACAAATTCAACATCAATTTTTGGGATTTCAAAACTACAGTGTTCAGCCATTTTCTTTGAGATAAAATCTTTCAAATTTTGATATGAAGAATCAATATGAACATTTTCATGTTGCATGTTTAATTTTTCAGCTATTCCAGTAAAATATTTGTTAAAATGATCAGCCATCATTTTCCTATCATAAATGTTTTCACCGTCATTATTTATAATGTTTGGTGAAGAACTTGTCTCTTTTGGAACAACTTCACGAATAAATTTCCACAAATTACTTGGATTATCAAGGTTACTTTCAATAACAGATTTATAATATGATGACTTTGCCTCTCTAATTTGTCTAGTAACTCTGTTTCTCTGGATTTTATCTTGGTCATAGTCACCATTATGTTTATGTTGATCTCTAAGTTTCATGCTTTCCAAGATGGTTTCGTCCATCCATTCAGGTTGACTGGACTTTTTAACACGTTTTTCTAATTTTGAGACATGTAGATCTACAATGCTGTAAAATAATTGCAGCCATGCTTCTAGTACATCATCAACATCAGAAAAAAATTCAATTACTGACCACGGAGCCCTGGCTAAATCAGATTTAAATTTAGACTCATTAAAATGTTTGAAAGATCTAAAAGACATTTTGATATGAGAAAATTTTGATCCAAATGTTCTTTTGCGTACAACACATACAGGATAGTGATCACTAAGTCCATTTTCCACTACCTTGACCGCTCTGACCAATTCAGGTGCAGAAACATAGACGTGATCAATAAGAGTTTTGGTAGTGGCAGTAACACGGGTGGGGTCCTTTACCATTTGATGTAGTTGTAGGTTCTCCATAAGGTCACCAATGTCACAAGTATTTTCTCCCATTAAGCTAATGTTATTGTAGTTATCATTTTTGGAATGATTTCATCAGGATCTTTTCTTTTATTTTGTTCACTCAAGAGAAAAAAGAGAGTACCATGAGAGGAAGTAGAAATGAAACTAAAGTAAGTTTCAACGTTTCCACACATCCACAATACTATCTAAGGTAATGAGAGGATCCGTCTTTAAGAAGTTTCAAACACTCATTCAACCACGATATCACTGATAGGATTATGTCAGCTCACCGATGTATCGTTACTGGTGCTGATGTCACTAATTGGTTGAGTACCCCCAAATGTCTGGATGCTACGAACACTTAATACGTATTCAGCTGGATGTGTTTCATTGGTTTCTTGGGCATGTTGAAAGACATGGGAGTTAAGATATGTACCATTAAGCATCCGGCAGGTTTCCTCCGTTGTGTTCGGTTGAGTGACATAGCATTCATTGTTCACTGTTGCTACAATAAATAGATGATATATATTACGTTGTAGATTAAATGCTTTTGATACAAATTAGATGTAACTAAGAGTTTTAATACCTGTCTATACAGGGTAACAACTTTGTTATCCAGTATAATGCATTTTTGTTCCACTTCATATGTAAAAATCTTTCGTTTTATATAAATATTTTTGTTAACTGAATAAGATAATCATGATTTGTCTTATTCGCATCCCTATAACTTTAGATGGGTTTGAATGTGATGCAATCTAACAACCGTATTTTCAAATATTATTGACAGAAAGTTATTTGTTCTACATAAATGAAATCAACTTGAACGATACATAAAAAAATCTACTTGATTGATACTGAAATGAAATAACCTTGATCGATATTTAAACGAAATCAACTTGAACGATAAATGTAAATGGTAAGATGTTGGTAAGGTGTCAAATATTTGGATAGAATTTAGTGTATATGAAACACATTTATTTTAAAGATCAGCATGCTTAAGTAAATAAAAGAAAAAGAAAATTTCGCTTAAAGTGTTTTTTTTTTACACAATAACGACAGCACTAGGCGTTTTGCGATCTCAGTTTTAAACCGCCATGGCTTGGGATAAACCTCGGATCATTTTTCATTCTTTTCTCTCTGAATAAAAAATCCCCATCCTGATATCCAAATCTAAGATTGCCACCTATCAACCATTTTTGTTTTTCTTATCAGTCCCAAAATCAAGAGCAATGAGGAATCTACAAATATGAAATTTAAGTAAGGTCGAAATGGACAATGCATAACTACAGAATAAGGAAATTTACGGACAGATCACGGATTCAGGGTTATTTGAACGACCTCACCCTCTGATGATGGTTGGTGACAATTATTCAGGGGCGAGAAGAATAGTGACGTCACTGTAACAGTAAAATATTCTCACATCTCACTCCTTTTGAGATGTGAGATTCAAAAATGTCGGAAACAAAAATATGCGCACCAACGAACTGCTACCTTTGGTTTTGTAA